CCTTGAGCCTCCAGCTGCTCTGAGCTTTATCTGTCTTCACTGACCCCCTGGCCCAGTCCTCAGCTCCAGCCCAGCACAGTTCCGGCTGCTTCCGCCTGGTCTGTATCTGTTCCCCATCAGAGGCCCCATTGGAGCTCTAGCCCTTCATCAGCCCAGATAAAAGAGATGGATGGAGGTGACTTTGGGGGATGCCCCTCCTCAGAAGCCCAGAGGTAGAGCCCTGGGTTCTGACAAGGGCTCCCTGAGGAGGGCTAGGGGTGGGGGTGAAGACTGTTCAGCTCTCTGGAAGCCCAGTCCCTGCCCATCTCTATCCTGCCTCAGCCTTTCCCCTTTTCCTAAGGCCCAATTCCTAAGGCCTCCTCCAGGCAGGTGCCAAGACTGCAATCACCCCATTCTCCAACAAACCCACTTCAGCAGGAAGCTCTGCACTGGGCACCCAGCCCCCATCTCCATGCAGATCATCTGCCCCATAATAGTACTGCATAATAAAACTGACGTTTGTTGAGCACCTATTTTGTTACAGACACATTGCTTATAAGATCTCTAATCCTTGTCATAACCCCTATGGAGTAAATTTTATCACTATATTGCAGAAGAGGACACAGAATAAGGAAGGTTAAGAAACCTACCCAATATACGCACTTCAAAAGCAGTAGAACTGGCTGAGTGGGGTGGTGCATGATTGTACTCCCAGCTACTCAAGAAGCTGAGGCGGGAGGATTGATTGCTCCAGCTCATGAGTTCAAGGGTGCAGTGAGCCATGATCGTGCTGTTTTAGTCTGGGCAACAAAGAGACACCCTGACTTAAAAAAATAATAATAAAAGAAAAGAAAAAAAGAAAAGAAAAGAAAAAAAAAAAGCAGTGGAACTGAGACTCAATCCCATACTGCAAAACCTCCTGTGCAAAGACCCACCATTACCCTTCAGAGATTACTCCCCCTAGAAACCCCCCACTACTGCCCCTAGAACTTAACCCCTCTGACACCAAGGAGTTAGGCCCAGGAGAACTGTGGGGCCTTCTCCAGCCCTACTCCAGCTCTTGGGGTGGGGGTAGCAGGAAGCAATTGTCCCTAGAGTCCTCAACCCTTATCCTGGGAGACTCCGTTACTTCTCTCAAGCTGTCACCACTTCTCATAGAGACCCTGCCTTTTCTCCCAGGGGACTCCAGCCCTCATTTCAGTGAAGGTACTGAGTACTTCAAGGTTCTCCCCACTAAGAGAATGGGATGAGATTTGATTGTGGGGTAACTCTTGTCACCATAACTGGACTTTCATAACTGTCCACCCTGTCCAGAGAGCCTTCAGTTGCCCAAATGGCAGAGTAAATGTCAAAACCAAATCCAGACCAGGCACAGTGGCATGTGCCTATAGACCCAACTACTCGGGAGGCTGAGGCAGAAGGATCTCTTGAGCCCAGGATTTCAAGTCTAGTCTGGGCAACATAGCAAGACCCTGCCTCTAAAAGATAAATCAATCAGAAAAATAAATCCAGGCCAGGAACTAGCTTGCGTTTTTAGCAATCCCCCCCACCCCAACCCCACTCCCTAACCAGCATGGACACAGCCCAGGGATCTAAGGCCTCAACCCTGGGGGGAAAAAAGAGGCCCTGAAGAAAGGGGAAAAGGCAGTGAAGGGGCAGAAACCCTGGTAGTCCAGCAAGGGTGGGTGAGAAGGAAGGGGAGAGGTATGAGTATTACCATAGACCAAGGGTTGAGGTGGCACCTGGAGACTCCCAGACTTGACTGCATCTGGAACGCATATAGCAAAAGCAGGGAAAGGAAGAAATGATTCAGAAGCACCTTCCCACTTCAGTCCTAGAAATGTGTGTGTGTTGGTGGAATGGGTGGATATTCTATGACCCTTTGCAGGTCTACACCCCACCCTTGTTTGAACCCCTCGGGCCAAGCCCATACTGGAAGCTGGTAATGGCAGCTGGGTGGGAAATGACCCAGGTGGCTGGGACAAGGCTTCATGGGATGCCGGTATTGTGAACCCTGCCCCACCTCGCCCACCACTTAAGTGAGTCACCTAAGTCAGGCCAGGCCCTGGAGCCTTAGCTCTCCTCCTCTGCCCCGGCGCATCTGAGAGCCAGCTTGAGCAGAGAGAGGGCTAAACTGGGGCCCAGCTTAGAGAGAGAGTGGGGGTGGAGGTGGGGAGGGAGGGATGACTCCCTCAAGATGGCTTCCAGGCTCCACCCCCAGACAGGTGTATCCCTGCCCCCAAAGCCTCTATCTCTGCCCTGACCCCACCCCAACTCCATCTCCAATCCCAACCTCATTACTCGCTTCCACCCCCTTCTCTATCCTACCACCCCATCCCTCCCCAGGTGTCCTCAAACCACCTCCCATTATCCGCAAGTGACTCCCAGAGCTCACTGCCTCCCAGAATTTATCCCTTCCGGTCTCTAAGTGCCCTCAGAGAACCTAGCCTCTTACCCCAGCCTCCCAGACCCCACTCCCACCCTTCCCCAGCACTGAGCAGAGGTAAGACTTGATGTGCACTAACAGTTCCTTACCACGCATGGACTTACACTGCTGTTCCCAGTTTAGAAAGAATTCAGTCAATCAGAAGGCTGAGGAAATAACCACAATGCATCCTAGGAGGCAACAGGCCTATGTTTCTAGCTTCTTTCCCTCTGCCCTCAGCTGCCTTCATGCTCAGAATAGAGCTCCAGGTGACAGGACCAGTGATTGTGAGCAAAAAACCAGGGAATCTCCAGGCCTACCAGAGTTTAAGCCTATCTACTCCTCGCACATACACATGTTAGACAGTATTATATGTGCGTGTGTGCATAATCCTGGAAATATAAATATACATAATTAACATAAGTATACATACACGTCTTAGACTGGAATACAAGTTCCATGAGGGCAGGAACAATTTTCTTTTAAGGCTCTGTCACCCAGGCTGGAGTGGTGCAATCATAGCTCACTGGCAGCCTTGAACTCCTGACTCAAGCAATCCACCTGCCTCAGCTGCTAGAGTAGCTAGGATTACAGGTGTGTGCCATCACACCCAACAAATTTTTTAAAATGTTTTTTGTAGAGACGGGGCTTCACTGTGTTACTCAGGCTGGTCTCGAACTCCTGGGCTCAAGCAATCCTCCTACTTCAGCCTCCCAAAGTGCTTGGGTTACAGGCAATATTTTTCCCTTGATGTAGCCCCAGTGCTGGTACATAACAAATATTTGTAGAAAGAATATGACACAGCCAGGCATCATGGCTCGTGCCTGTAATTCCCAGCTGCTCAGGAGGCTAAGACAGGAGGATCACTTGAGCCCAGGAGTTTGGGGCTGCAGTGAGCTATGAAAGTGCTACTGTCTTCCAGCCTGGGTGACAGAGCAAGATCCTGTCTCTTAAAAAAAAAAAAAAAAAAGAAAGAAAGAAAGAATGAATGATACATAATGGAATATATACTTGAAAATAAATGTCTATACATATACATATAACAATACACCCATATATACTTTTGCACACACATACATACATACAAAACCTACATGTAGGCCAGGCGTGGTGACTCATGCTTGTAATCCTAGCACTTTGGGAGGCCGAGGCGGGCAGATCACTGGAGATCAGGAGTTCGAGACCAGCCTGGCCAACATGGTGAAACCTCATGTCTACTAAAAATACAAAAAATTAGCTGGGCATGGTGATGCGCACCTGTAATCCCAGCTACTTGGGAGGCTGAGGCAGGAGAATCGCTCGAACCCGATTACAGTGAGCTGAGATAGCACAACTGCAATCCAGCCTGGGCGACAGAGTAAGACTCCATCTCAAAAAAAAACTACATGTATAATATGCATCTAGATGTATACATGTATACATACAATGCACACATAACTACTATGGATATATTAGATTTTACATATAGATATCTTATCAATATATGGTACACATACACGTGCACATTCACATACATTAAATGAATACAAATTGAAGCATCTATTTTTTTACTCAGATTTTTCCAGTTAAGTAAACTGTCTCGAGGCCCCTGGCCCAGGTCTGAGTGTCACTACCAGAATGATCCACCAGATGGCACTCCTTCGCCACTTCCTGTACTCCCAAGTTGCCAGAGATGTCGCCTCTTTCCGCTAAGGCACAAAACTTGCAGAGCCAGGTGTTCCCCAGGCGATTCCCCGCACGCCACCGCCCGCACCCTCCCCCCAGCCCCCACCATCGTGGTGAGCGTGTCCTCGGTCCCCAAGGTCTGCAGTGTTTGCCCTCTCTGAGTCGGGTTCATCTCTCGGGCTTCCAGACTTCTTTTTCAGGGGCGCTCTCCGGCTTCGGGCTCAGTTCTGCCCAGTCCGTACATCGACCCCCCAGATCACCAGAGCGCCAGGGGCTGGGCTTCTCCAGGACACCCTCGGTTATACCAACACGGCTGCGCAACCATTCTTTGGAGCCTTAGCGATGACGAGCAGCCAGGTGAAGCGGCTCTCCTCCTCACGACAGCCCGAGGAGGGGATCAAGGTCATTTTCAGACAGCCCCCTCTGGCTTCCGCTTCACACCCTGCCCTAGATGGAGGAGAGAGGCATGCCCAGCTCGGCTCAGCTAAAAGCAAGAAGAAGAGCCCGGCTGAGACCTGGAAGCCTCAGCTTGGGAGGGGCTGGTCCGACGGACCCTTCCTGCCCCGGTTGGTCCGGACTCCAGATCTCTGGGTAGGAGCCAGAAGAAAGAGCATTCCAGGGATTTCAAGCGGACTATACTTAAAATCTCGGAGGTGGGGGGATGTAGGGTGTGACTGAGCCTCTCCCGCTTTCAGGCCTGGGCAACTCTGGGTCGGCGCTCCTGGAACCTCAGATCTCGGGTGTGAGCAACCTAGGACACGAAACCGGGGATGGCTTGGAAGCCCGTGGGGAGGCGAAACCGGGAGTTCTGGCAGCGGCTCAGCCTCCCCCTCCTCCTCCCTTCCCCTCCCCTCCCTTCCCCCGGGAGCAGCGGGAAATTATTTATTAAAACGCCGCCCGCGCTCTCATTTATTTGCGGTGAATAATCCTCGGCATCTCAGCACGTTTATTAAACCTTTCCCGTCCCCGCGCCCGCATTACTTTAATAATAAATCGCGTGTCACTTTCCAGCGACGTTATTAAAGCGGGTCCGCTGCAGCAGAGGCGGGGTGCGGGGAGGGAGGGGGCGGTGGACAACAGTTCTCCCATTCCAGGATGTGGGGCTTGAACCAGCAGGGCGGCGGAAGGGAAAACTGAGGCTGCTAGGAGGCTGCTCCTGAACACCTACAAAGTCGGCTAACGCGATCAAGGAGTACGGATTCCCCGGGACCTGCGTGACCCTCTCTGGTGGGGTGGGCTTTTGGTGAGGAGCCTCTGCTCTGCAGGTGGACGCGGTAGGGGCTATGGGCCCGCAGAGGGCGCCTTGGAGCCCAGCTGGGCGAAGAACAAGCTAGGGGCGGATTCCCTGGCCGATGCTGGGACTCACACCCAAGTTCCCTCTTTCAGCGCCGAGTGGATTTTGGCCACGGTGCCGAACAGCACGCCCCACCCCCGCCTACCCCTCTGATTCTGCTTCTGTGGGTGCCCTGGAATCGGCTCCCAGTATCCAACCCGCTTGCGCTGTTGTGCGCGGCTCCTGGGGCCGCCCGGCTCCAGCCTGGGTTCGGCAATAAACACTGTCGCTGGCTTAAGGACCCGGGGCAAGGCAGCAGTAGATGGAGTAGTGCGTAGCCGCGGGAGGGGCGGCCAAGCAGGCCCTGGGGTTGGAGTTCCGGACCACGCCCCTCCCATGAGGCCAGGCTCCCTGCGTTGGGCCCCAGAGGACAAACTCTGACGCTGAGCCAAGGGCAGGCCCTCCCGCAGTGGCGCCAGGATCTGGGTGGAGCGCTGGCGTGTAGGAGGCTGTCGCCATCCACACACAGTGTCTCGGCCTCACTGACTTATGCTTTCATTCTCTCCGTCAGTCATTAAATAAACATTGAGTCTCACCAGTGTCCCTGAGCTAGGTAAGGAGAATGAGGAAAGAGATTTGGGGACCCCAAGCCAGAGAGGACAGGTCACAATTGGGGCAGATAGGAAACAGGCTTACCATGGCTCTGGCTTCTGCAGGAAAAGGGTAGATTCCTATGGGAGCTGGGGAAGAGTATGGACCACACAGGTGACCAAACTTCTACCCTCCTCTCTCTATGCATTCATTTTGGGGGCCTACCCACATAGGCCTGATTCCCCATTCTGGCCTGGGAAAGGGTTTGGAGTAAGATGAGCACAGAAGCAGGTAATGTATACCAGCCCCAATGGAGGGCATACCGGGAAGATAACTTCCCTCCAACCAAATGGCTCCAGCCTCCCTCCCTCAAAGGCAGGATAGGCCCAAGTTCAAACCTTCTCTCTGTACATCTGGCAGGCATGTGCTTAGAGAGCAGGCCCTGCAGCTTCTAGAAGCCAGAGTTCTGTTAGTGTGGGAGGCCTCCCAGGGATATTCAGTTTTCATGTGCACATCCGCATAAACTGTCTGTGCATCTGTCTGTGCATCATTAGAAATCTTTATTGGTGCCTAGTCCTGTGCTAGGTTTTGTCCAGTACAGAGCGGTATAAGATCTGGAGCTGGCCTCACCCATCTCTCTGCACTGAACTAAGCCACACTCTGCTGTGCTCTCTCTTGTGCAAAAGAGGGCAGACAGCAAAGGGGACTTGCAGTCAGTAGGTGCAACTGGGGCTTAAGAGAGAGGGAAAAGTTCTGGAAGATGAGTTTGGGGAAAGGGCAAACAAGCTAGGTAAACGTTGGGGACCAGGAAATAGCAAGAACCAGGGCCTGGGAGGAAGGGCAGTTAGAAGTGTGGCGGAGCAGGGCTGGATGAAGTGGAGAATCCTGGTGCCTGCACCTCCGTGTCTGCTCTGGCCCCCATCCCAGCCTGGGGAACAACCTGTTGGAGGTCCTACTGGCCAGGGCATCTCCTGCATGGGCCCCTTTATACCCCACTGGTCTTGGTCTCAGCCTCTCTCCCTAACCTCCTCCAGCTTTTGTCTCTCCCCTACCACCCTGCTACCTTGGAGTTAAATAGGCCTCCCATGATCATCCCCATGAAAGCAGTCCATGAAGGGAATCTGCTCCCCTTTCCAGGTCTTTTCAAGAGCAGGGATGAACACTATAGCTGCTCACCCACCCCCATGGGCCAGAGCTAGTAGTAATCGTCACTCTCTTGACTCTCAGTTTCCTCCTCCGGAACCAGGTTTAGTGATCGCAGCTGGGGGATGCCTGTAGAATTCAGCTGGTCTGCAAACACACGTGGGCAAAGGAGAGAAAACAGGAGAGAGGGGCTGTCAGTACCAACATAGCCCAGTCTGCAGAAGGCTATGCTTGTGTATGCACCCACATGCACACAGACACATGGACTGTTTCTTACATATTCACAGCTGGAATCCAGCACCATCCCTCCAACCCCCAGAGCTCAGGGATCCCCTTACCAGGTGTGAGCACTGTCAAGCTAGCAGGGGCCTCCACCTGACCCAGCGCATTGCGGGCAAGGCAGCGGTAGGTGCCCTCATCGCTGGGACGCACAGCCTGGATCTGCAGCCAGCCAGTCACCTCAAACCTCTGGGGTCCACCCCTAAACTGGAGCCAGGCAAGGAATCAGCGAGGTCCTTCTGGAGGGCCCTGGGCTGCCTGAGGGAAGCCTCTCCCACCGGTCTCTACCTGCACAGAGATGTGGGGGTCATCCCCTGGCAGCTGGATGTCCAAGCCATCCTTCCTCCACTCGATGGAGGCCATGGGGTAGGCAAACACCTCACAGCCAAAGATCACATCCTGCCCTGTCACATTCCAAGTGTCATATGGATGTGATACGATCTGGGGCCCTGGGGGTGAAGGTGGGAGGTCTGAGAATAGCATGGCCCAGCAAAGGCATCCAGTCTGGCAAACACATGATACACAAATTTTTGTGGACATGCTTGTGGCAGAACACAATATATGCTGAGGTAAATACATATCCATAAACACACCATGACACACACAGGTACACACAGATGTGGATGCTGGTACACACAAGGGTACCACGCAGACGTGGAGATAGATATACATGCACATGTGCACATAGGACCTCATGCAGACTCAATGCACAAACAAGCACACACACCTACACTGTAGCTTGGCAGCCACTCTGTCCCCAACTGCTCTCCTATCCTCATTCCACCCTCCCCAGCCTTTCCCGCAGTGCCTATAACTAAAACCTTCCAGATACCCGTTCCCCTTTTCTAAACAGGCCCAGTTTCCAAAGGCGGAAAAGCAGCTGTTCCCTACACAGCGGGACCCCCTGGGGGAGTCCCACGGCAAGGCGGAGAACCTGAAGCTGGACTTGTGCAACAGGCAGGACGCCTGCAGGAGTGCAGGAAATTGCTGGGATCCCCGCGGGGTGTTTGTTTTCTGACTGCCCCAGCCGAGCCAGACACAGAGCCAGGGCTCAGGAAGTGAAAGTTACTAAAGCTGCCAAGGAAAGCTAGAAGCCTGAATGGCCCCCAGTCCCCGGGGATAGAGAGAGAACTAGCTGAGCTTCCTGCTCCTCTTCACTAATCCCTAAACGCAGAAGAAAGGAGAGAGGTGGGGAGACTGAGTGAACAGACTGCTCTAAGAATCTGCCCAGATGAAACGTGATTGCATCTCACAGGAACCCGTTTTGCTGCCTGGACTCCACTGGTCTGGGAAAAGTGTGTGTGGACGAGGGGTTCTGAGCAAACCATAGGCTATGTGCCCGCGCCCTCAGAGGACCTGTCTCTCCCTGCCAGCCAGCTCTGGAGCTTTCACATGGTTCAGCGCATGCAGCTTGCTGACGAAGCCTGGGACCCTCACTCCACTCCACTCCCCCACCCCCACCTTCAGGTGGCAGCTTCTATGGACCAGTAGCGAGAGCAGGGTTTTATACTGGACTCGAGGCCTCTATGGCCTTATCTATTTTGATCTGTTGGCCAGAGACCAACGCCGTCAGGGGTCGGGGAGCAGTGCCTTTAGGAAACCTAAGTGCTGGGGTGGGGGCCCCGGGCCGTGCGTACCCGATTCGCAGGGCCCCGGGTGTGCCACAGTGAGGTTGGCAGCGGGCCGAGCGCGGGCCGCCTCCTGCAGGCGGCAGATCTGGGCGTAGGTGTGACCGTCGGACCCACAGAGCGGGCTCTGCGAGCGACAGGCACACAGCGGTTCTGGCACCTCTCCGCGGCTCAGGTCGCCGCTTGTGTCCAGCCGGCACTCAAGCTGCTCGCCGCAGTGCCCGTAGAAGTGAGCACTGGGGTCCAGGTCGCAGAGCTGGCCCTCGAGGTTGGCGCATTCCCAGCAGCAGCCGCACGCGTCGCGCACCCAGCCCGCCAGGCAACCCCGCGGCGCGGCGCACTCTTCTGGCCGGCAGGGAGCGCAGCCCTCGCCCTCCGCTAGCAGCCGCAGCCAGCCGCGCCGCAGGTAATCTGGGCCTGACGACGGCCTTGCGCCGGTCGGGAGCGGCGTCCGCACCATCAGCAGTAGCAGGAGCACAGACAGCGCCAAGGCAGCTGCGGGCGGCGGCGGCATGGTTAGCGGGAAGCCCTGCGAGCACTTGGGGCATCAGCGCGTTCGTGGCACCCTGCCAGGAAGGGAAGCCAGGTCAGGAGGTCAGAAACGGGACCTGTGCCGAAAGACCAACCTCACTGCTTCTTGTACCAAAGCATGACGCTAGCATCGCCCCCTCCCCTGCTACCAAGTAGACTCCCCCAACACATTAGGCCTAGTGACCCTCTAGGGATTATCCAGTTATGGCAGTTAGCAATCAGTTGGGCTGTTCTCGGGGGTGGCTGGGAGGGAAGAAAGGTGAGGAAGGGGTGATAAGGATCAAGCGCACGCACACCCACCACGAGCACCACTTCCGTGCACCATCCGACTCCGATCCCTGGCCCCTGAACATCCTTGCCCAAAGAGAATGGACGGCTCCAGAAGTAAGAAGCTGTTAATGGGGGGTGGAAACAGCGGGATCTGATGCCCCCTTGCTTATGGCCTGGGGCACAGAGTGCTCACCTAGTGTCCGGGACTAGGCCCTTCGCAGCAGCCGTGATTCGAGTCCGAAAGAAAAGGTTATGGAAATAAAGCAGGGGCGCAGTCAGCCGGGCCCGCCAGCCACCTCTGCTCCGGCCTGAGGACTTCTGAGAGAGCCCACGGACTCGGATTCAGAAAATAGCTCCTCCGCCCCCTCTCTCCGCCCCTCGATTTAGCGCACCCGCCTTCCCACTGGTTCTAAGGCTGCCAATTTTATGTAGCCACACGGGACCCTCCCGGGTCATTTCTCCCAGCCTGGCCCAAAGTCACAGTGCGAGCAGAGGAGCCGTAACCAGACACCGAGGCTAGGAGAGAGGAAGGGGGTGAGGACCAGAGGCGGGGAGTGGGGGTAGGAGTTTGGCTGGGAAGCTGAAAGTGTTGGCTGAACGGCTAGGCCCTGTCCCATCTGCCTTTACAGTCCCTGGCGTCGGCGAGGGCAGCTGCATAAGGGGGAAGCGGCAGGAGCTCTGCTGCCAAGTCATTTTACGTCGATGTCGGGGCGCCCCTGGAGGGCAGGACCAACCAACTTCGCCTCCCCGCAGCCCAGGGCTGGTTCCTGGGAGCGACTGCAGGCTTGCCCACCCAGCTCCCCCACCGAGGCGCTGACAGACTGGGCGCCTACATCTGCCTTCCCTCATCTGGCCTCCTCCTTCCTCCCCACATCCGGCAGGTGCTGCAACCCGCGGGTGAGCCGGGTGATGCGGGGTCGGAGCTAACCAGCGGCCGCAGGGAGAGGCGGGCTGGGCCTCCCAGGCGGGCGTCCCTCGGGTCGGGATTACAGGTTACGGTTGCGAGGCTGGCAGGGCCGGAGGCACTCGGCCTCGCGGCCGCCACCACTGCCACCGTGGCACTTTGGGCCGGGGGCGGGGAGGAGAGCATTCCTGGGGGCCCGCCCGCCAAACCCGGGTCGCGCAGGCCCCTCCCCGGACGGCCCCAAGCGGCTCAGAGAAGCTGCGGCGCAGTCCAGCTCGCTGGGGGCGGGGGACAGAAATCGGCTGCCGGCGAGGGGGCGGCACTTAGCCAGGCTCCGCCCACAAGGCCTGGCTGTGGTGCCCGCCCGCTTGCGCGGGATCGACTCCGCATGCGCACTGGAGCCCTGGAATCCAACCGGCACTCTCCTTTCGGAGAGCGCCCCTGAGTTGGGCCAACCCCATTCATTCAGGGGCTCCCGAGCCACGTAGGCGCCATCCCTGGCGAGAGGGGTTCTGAGGAGGGGGGCAAGGGCAGACACTCTCTCCTGGTCTCAAATTCGAAAGAGGGACTAGAAGGGAACTTCACGCGTGGCCTCGCAACTGTCGCGAGAATCAGAACAGGAACTCTACGAACCGAGAACACTAAGAGCCCGCGGATTTTAAACAGGAAAAAGAAAGGGCGGAGCCAGCTCTGGCGGATAGTTGTGAGTAATCCCTGGTCCTTGGCCTAAGTGTCGACCTGGGGCAGAAGGGGAACTGTCAGAGAGCTGCCGGAAACCGTGAAAAAGACCAGAGACAGGGACATGTGGGGCTGACGAATGGAGTCAACCAAGGAGAGGTCTCTGGCTCTAACAAAACACCTTGGGGACGGAGCTCCTTGTCCGGGATACAGAGCAGAAACAAGTCCGGGATCTCTTAATGAATTGCTGCCGGCTTCTAAGGCCTGGAGCTGATATTTCAACAACAAACTCCACAGACCTGGAAACTCTTCACTTATCCCACTATTGTAGACAGTTGCTTACTTTCAGTCTTTCCTATGCTCTAAGCCTCTGGTAGTAGGAATCGTGCCTAACTCACTACTCTATCTTGTGAACCTAGCCCCGAGCCAGGTGGCACGGCAAATTCTTGGTAAATATTTGTGGATTAAATGTGAAAGACTGCCTGAGTGTTTAACCTGGATTTTCTGAGTCGCTGATGGAGAACAGTAGATAGACGGGGAACCAGCGCCCTCTGGTGGACTTGTGGTTAGTGACGAGAACATCCTGGAACCGTGCATCCAGGTAGGCACAAAGATAATAAAAGGGGATCCGCTGTTATTAAGTAGAGATTTTGTTCCTGTAAAACCCTACATACCGTAAAAATACTTTTAGAAGGGAGTTTTTTGAATAGGACAGAACTTGAGAGTTTAGATACATTCCCCGATCCTCAGCATCCCATACTTCATCCGTCAAGGCTCCAAAACTTTCGGTAACACCTATGCGCATCGTAAATAGTAAAGAGATAGCAAATGATTTTGCGTATTTATACTTTGAAAACGTTTACTCGGTTTTGTGCAAAACGGGCCAAAGGGAAGGGATTCTCTAGCCTAGATGATGTGAATACTGCTAGAGAGAGGAGCCAGGTGGCAGCATCCTTTGCATTTAATGAGGGAGACTAGATCCAGATGGGCAGGGTGACGTTGAAATTTGTTGAATAATAGATGGTCCCGCCTCTTTTTCCCCTTTTCCTGCAGACGCTTGTACTGAAGAAGGAATGAGGTATAGAATGTAGTTTTCTTTCCACCATGAAACCCTGTGTTCACAAGATTATCATATGTTCACTTTCAGTCACTGACACATGAAATAACTGCAATATAATGACAGAATGATGAGCCGGAGTGTGGTGGTGCACACCTGTACTCCCAGCTATTTGGGAGGCTGAGGCAATAGGATCCCTTGAGCTCAAGGGTTCGAGAGACCATGTCTTTTTAAAAATACAATTTTAGGGCCAGGCATGGTGGCTCACACCTCTTAATTCCAGCACTTTGGGAGGCAGAGGCAGGCAGATCACCTGAGGTCAGGAGCTGGAGACCAGCTTGGCTGATATGGTGAAACCCCTGTCTCTACTAAAAATACAAAAATTAGCCGGGCGTGGTGGTGCACGCCTGTAATCCCAGCTACTCAGGAGGCTGAGGCAGGAGAATCGCTTGAACCTGGGAGGCAGAGGTTGCAGTGAGCCCAGATCATGCCACTGTACTCCAGCCTGGGCGACAGAACAAGACCACCTCTAAAGAAAAAAAAAGAAAGAAAAAATAGAATTTTAAAAATAAAAGAGTGAAGAGGGCCCTGTACAGATGAACAACAGAAGATGAAACAAGGCATACAGAGTCATTGTTTAATTTGGTAAAAAAAAAAAAAAAAAAAAAGAAATTACTTCAAAGGACCCACATATTTTAACGTGTCATTTCATGAACCCTGTTTTGACACAACTGGTGAAAATAGTAGAGTTGCAACTTTGAGGAAGAAGCAGGAGTGAAATAAATGGTCCATGTTGACCTATTAGAGACCGATACAGAGAAATTGTGCTTCCTGTGAATATTAGAATAGGTTGAGTCGGGAAAAAAAAAAGGCTAAACATAGATAATTAAAATGGAATACTTTGTAGCTGCCAACTATGACAAATAGGTAAACTCAAAATAACGTATGTAGGAAACAAAGTGACAAGTACATGTGGAAAAATAAGGTTAAGAGAAAAGAAGAAGTATATGGATACTGATCACAACTGTATGTATATTTATCATCTATATCATCAATAAACACCCTAAGAGAATTTGGAATAAGGCTAACGGTTGAGTGTAATACTCACTACTCCCTTATTTTGTAAGTTATTTTTCCTTTTTTTTTTTTTTGAGACAGAGTCTAGCTTTGTCGCCCAGGCTGGAGTGCAGTGGCACAGTCTCAGCTCACTGCAACCTCGGCCTCCCAGGTTCAAGTGATTCTCCTGCCTCAGCCTCCTGAGTAGCCACCCGGCTTATTTATTTATTTATTTATTTATTTATTTATTTTTAAGTAGAGACAGGGTTTTGCCATGTTGGCCAGGCTGGTCTTAAACTCCTGACCTCAAGTGATCTGCTCACCTTGGCTTCCTGGTAGAGGCTATTTTTATAGGTAAAATAGAATGTCAAGATAAATGTAGCAAAGCTGGGACGGCTGGGTAAAAAGATTGGCTGGGCATGGTGGTTCATGCCTGTTAATCCCAGCACTTTGGGAGACCAAGGTGGGCGGATCACCTGAGGTCAGGAGTTTGAGACCAGCCTGGCCAACATGGGGAACCCCATCTCTACTAAAAATACAAAAATTAGCTGGGTATGGTGGTGCATGCCTATAATCCCAGCTACTTGGGAGGCTGAAACAGTAGAATGGCTTGAACCCAGGAGGCGGAGTTGCAGTGAGCTGAGATCGTGCCACTACACGCCAACCTGGGCGACAGAGCAAAACTCCATCTAAAAAAAAACAACAAGAAAAGAAAAAAGGAAAATGTAATTCAGCTACAAGTAATGTTACAAAATGAAGACTGGAATAGCCGGGAACTGGCTCTCTGGAATACCTAGGCATTAAGGCAAGTTAAATAAGCTTCAGGACATCTAGAAGCAATCAGGCCTCAGTCTACCTTCCTATATCTCAAAAGGCAATCCCTCTCCCCAACACCCACCTTCAGTATCCCATTGACCCTTGAGATGGTGATTATAGCTCCATCCAACCTGATGACTTGGCCAAATGTTATATTGATAAACTTAGAAAATATGCTTAAATCATTCTACATGTAGATTCTTTCTACATTTCTTTTTCTTTCTTTTTTTTTTTTTTTTTTTTTTTGAGACAGAGTTTCACTCTTGTTGCCCAGGCTGGAGTGCAATGGCACAATCTCGGCTCACTGCAACCTCCACTTTCTGTGTTCAAGCGATTCTCCTGCCTCAGCCTCCCATGTAGCTGGGATTATAGGCGTGCACCACCACGCTAGGCTAATTTTGTATGTTTAGCAGAGACAGTGTTTCACCATGTTGGTCAGGCTGCTCTTGAACTGACCTCAAGTGATCCACCCACCTCGGCCTCGCAAAGTGCTGGGATTACAGGTGTGAGCCACCGCGCCCGGCCCTTTCTACATTTCTTGTTCTCATTTTGTTTTTAACTTAATTTCATTATGAAGTATAACAGACAAGCAGAAAAGTGCACAAAGTAGACATATAGTTAAATTAATTATTACTGAATGAACACTTATGTGATCATCATCCAGGTCAAGAAACAGAACGTTGCCAACACCCACAGAAGCCCCCATCATGCCCCCTCCACAATAATTTCCCTCCTCTTCTCCCTAGATAACCTTTTTGTTTGTTTGTTTGGTTGGTTGGTTCGTTTGTTTTTGTTGAGACATGGTCTTTCTCTGTTGCCCAGGCTAGAGTGCAGTGGCATGATCATGGTTTGCTGCAGTCTCAAACTCCTGGGCTCAAAGGATCCTTCCACCTCAGCCTCCCAAGTAACTGGGACTACAGGCACACCACCACACCTGGCTAATTTTTTTATTTTTATTTTTGCAGAGACAAGGTCTTACTATGTTATCCAGGCTGGTGTGGAACTCCTGACCTCAAGCAGGCCTCCCACCTCAGCCTCCCAAATTGCTGGGATTATAGATGTAAACCACTGTGCCTGACCAATAACCACCTTTAACTCTATACTTTAATTTTACCTGGTTTTGAAATTTATATAAATTGGGACATGCCTAGGATCGGAATTACTGCTTCATGTGATATGCATATTCAACATTAGTAGATTTTCTTTTCCTTCCTTCCTTCCTTTCCTTCCTTTCTTTTCTTTCCTTTCTTTTCTTTCTTCTTCCCTTCCCCCTTCCTCCTTTCCTTTCCTTCCCCCTTCCTTCCCCCTTCCTTTCCCTTCCTTTCCTTTCCTTTCCCTTCCTTTCCCTCCCCTCCCCTTCCCCTTCCCCTCCCCTTCCCCTTCCCCTCCCTTTCCCCTCTCTTTTTCTTTTTCTTTTTTGTTTTTTGAGACAGAGTCTCACTCTGTCTCCCAGGCTGGAGTACAGTGATGTGACTGGAGTACAAACCCCATAGCAGATGTAGTCAGTGCCTCACTCGTATACCCTTGGCTCACACCAAAGGTTACCTGCAGATAGTTCCTTTACGATCCGGTGGGTCTGTCTGTCTGAGGGAGTTCTTTAGCCCCTAGAGTGAGCTCAGCTGACGTGCAGGGCAGGCTGGAAATGCCATGGAGGTAACAACTCGGTATCAAACCACATCCAGTGAGGAAAAACACTGGAGCACAGATAATCCTGTTCCTTTCCCTTCAGTGGGGTAATTTTGAGGTGTGTTCTCCACGGTTTTGCAGAAGGCTTAGAGAGACTTGAGTCACAGTTGCCCTCAGTGGTAACCTGCTCATTAATGCATCCTTTATTTGGTTTTCGTCCCGTCTCTGACTTCCCTTTTCCCTCACTGTGTTTTCTGGGATAAACTCCCAAATAAACTACTTGTACCAAAATCCTTGCCTCGGGATCTACTTTCTGGGAAACCAAAACCTAAGACAACCCCTGTAGAGGGAGGAGGCCATCTTCCTGAGTGCCCCGTCAAGACCATAGGGACCAGGGAGAGATCTTAGACCCCAGCACCACATTGTGACAATATCTTTGCTCACATCCCATTTTATTTCCTTCCTTTTTGTTTTTTTCTTTTTGAAATAGAGTCTTTTTCTTTGGCCATGACTAGTCTCGAACTCGTGACCTCAGGTGATCTGCCTGCCTCGGCCTTCCAAAGTGCTGGGATTACAGGCATGAGCCACCGCACCCAGCCTGGATATCCCACTTTCAACCTTTTCTCTTGAGAAATAACAGAGTCTAGTGTTGGCTTCTGTGGAGTATTGGGACTCCCCACAGCGACCAGTTCACTGAAACTAAGGAAGAACCTGACAAATGTATGCTCAGAACTCCAAGCAAGAAACAGTGGGAGCTTTCTCAGGGCTGATGGGAAATAAAAAGGACTAATTAGCTAGGAACTACTTGGCTTTTAAGCAGCCAAACCACATGGAGAATCTCAGGTCCCAGTGGAGCATC